TGTGGGCTAATTTCTTAGTGCTAATTTATGCTGGAGGGCCTGCCCACTGTGGGAAGCACCTTCCCTAGGCAGGTGGGCCTGGGCTGTGTTAGAAAGTGAGCCTGGGAGCCAGCCAGTCAGCAGCGTTCCTCCTCGGTCTGTGTGTCACTTCCTGCCCCCAGGTTCTCAGTGCTTGAGTTCCTCAGTGCTGGTCTGTAACCTGTGAGCTTAAATACACCCGCTCTCCACAGCTGGAAGGGGGAGGTTTCCATCAGTGTTTTTATCACAGCAACTGGAACCAAATGAGAGCACACACTTTTCTATAGGTCCCAGTTTCTTACTGCCTCCAACTAGGACCAGCCTCTTAAAGCTCCCGCCACATCTCAGTCACACTGCTAGCTGGGGACCAGGGCTCTGGCACAGAAGTCTTTGAAGGACAACCCAGGCCCACACTGCAACAGTTCCGTGATGGCAAACTCTTAAAAATGGAAGTATTTCTGGGGTTAGAATGTGGAAATGTGCAGAGGCTGGAAGAGTTTGGAGACACATGATACATTGCCTTGGACACCTCTCCTCAGAGGGGATATGGCCAGGGTGGGTGGTGGTGAGCCCCCCAGTCTGCCAGCCTGAGGTATGCCACACTTTATGGTCTTTAGAGAGAGCGGGCCGTCTCTCAGAACAGAGCGGCTGGCCGAGACCTTAGGAGCAATAGGGACAGTGGACTGGGATTAGAGAGAGTGCAAGCTTGGCCTCCCTGAACTATTTTTGATTATGTGAGGTCTACCCAGGTCCTGGTCCTGGATTCCTATGGAGTCATGTGGTTGGCCTAGCAGCCCTGGAGCGGGAGGAAGGCCCACACTGTATGCATGCCATGCCCGTGAGCTGAGTACAGCAACTTGTGTCTAGAAGAATGCCTGCCCCTCCGTGTCAGTGGATAGCTGGGCTCTTGCCAATCACCAGGCAGTCCTTAGTCACCATTCCGTCCTGGGACTGGATCTTAGTGTTCTGGTTCTCAAAGCTGGAGTGGCCAGCTGTTACCTTTGGACCCTGTCCCTGGCCAGTGTGAGGCTGTGACTACTCTGGATGAGGAACAAGGAACTGTGGAGAAGTTATCCCACCTGGACAAGGTGCAGCCCATCCTGAAGCTACAGTCCTAACCCAGGTGTCACGTGGAGAGCTTCTGAAACCCCAGTGGGTTTAAGAGAAGTTGAGGACAGATAATAGTTCAGATACCTGGAATAGTTCAGATGCCTGGGATTAAGGGGGAGCTGGGATATGAATCCTCTGGATATACTTTGTATGAAGCCTAGAGGATTTGGTACTGTAACAAGACTTATACTTAACTCCTGATTTTCCCTCTTCCCAAGCAGAAGTCTGCGCAGCAGGCTGGAAGAGGACGAGGCGGCCACTGATGCCCGTCTGACCGTCAGCGACACTGGAATTGTCATAGCTAGGTCCTGAGCTGTCTTACAGAGCTCAGAGCTGAGATCCACCTGTCGGAACAGGAGCAGAAGTTGCCAGAACTGTCCCACAGGGCTTCCCACAGCCACAGCAGCTGCCTTAATCCTGGCACATACAATGCACAGTCAGCATCTCAGTCTCTCAAGCCAGGCTCCAGAGGGACTGCCACACTCAGGGATCTTAATTGCATTCACATAGCACTTGCCTCTTGACTCCTAGCTCAGGGCTTCCAGCCTTTGTTGTCTCCAAAGTCCTGTGGTCAATAAATGGCGCTTATATGTGGCTCTATTTAGCTCAGTGGTTCTCAACCTGTGGGTCGTGACCCTCTGGTCTTTCGAATAATCCTGAGACCATCAGAAAACACAGATATTTATAACAGATCAGGAGCAGTATTACTATTATGAAGTAACAATGAAGATCACTTTATGGCTGGGGTCACCACAGCATGAGGAACTGTATTAAAGGGTCGCAGCGTTAGGAAGATTGAGAACCACGGATAGCTCTTCTAACTAGGGACTCTAGTGTATAAAACCCTTTGGGCTGGGTTCGTGGACCAGCATGAGCTGCATTAGCTCAAGCGTGGACCTCGCGTATATGGACACCCACATCGTGGTCCCACCTCAAGCCCTGGCAGTTGTGAGGTGAGTAACGTTCCCTCGGTTGAGTAAGTGAGCACTACCACCTCTGATGGAGCTACCTGTGCATCTACCCTGACTCTCTTGGGCCTCCTGAGGTACTTACTGTCTTAGAGCTATGGTAAAACACCTTGATCAAAGTCAGCCTGGGGAGGAAAGGGTTTATTTCAGCTTACAGTTTCACTTCCTGGTCCATCACTGAGGGAAGGGCAGGGCGGGAACTTAAATGGGACAGGAACCTGGAAGCCGGAGCCAGTGCGAGGTCATGGGGAACGCTGCTCACTGGCCTGTTCCACATCTTGCTCGGCCATCATTCTTCTCGCACCCACAACCACCAGCCCTGGGGAGGCACCGCCTGCAGTGATCTGGGCCTTTTCACACTGTCAATCAAGAAAATACACCACAGGCTTGCCCACAGGCCAGTCTTGTGGGGGCATTTTCTCAATTGAGGTTCTTTCTTCCCAATTGACTCTGGCTTGTGTCAAGTTTACATAAAACTACCCAGCACTGTTTTCTAAATGGCCGCCGGGTTACAGTCAGGAATGTGAAGTGGAACAGTTTCTATCCCCAAGGTCCTCTTTTTTTTCCAGATAACCTCCTACCAGCCTTGTAGGCAGTCAGTAAAAGCTAGTCCTATAGCTCAGAGAGTAAGGCAAACAAAAGGAGGTTACCTTAGTCTTGCTGGGAGACTGGACTGAGCTAACCTGAGCTAACTTTCTCTAGGGCCCAGCTGGAACAACTTGGAGAAGCTCTGACCAGGTGGCCCCTTTCCCAGGGCCTGGGTCTCCCCAGGACTTCTGCTTCTCAGAGAAGAGGCAGCCACTGAAGTGACCCTGTTCTCTCAGTTCTGCTCCAAGGGCTGCATCTGGAAGAGCAGACAGGCCAGATGTGCCCGCTCTGGGTCCCAGCAGCAGGTGCCATTGTTGGGGCTCAATATGCCTACAGAGGTCCCTGTGTAGGCCCAGTAGGGCAGGGGGCAGGACAGTTCTTTTGGGGATCCCAGTAACCACCACTTCCTCCACCCACCAAAAGCTCCTATCTCATCTTGCTTTCCAGAAACAGTATCACTTGCTAGAAGAGGTAGTTAAGTCCCTCTGTCCTTCCTGGAAGCCAGTGAGAAGCTGAGTTTTGTGAGTATGCAGAGCAGATTCAGGCTAGTGCTGCCTGAGCCTTTTGCCTGGTCATTGACCTTGTAGCTAAGTGTCTAGTGTCCACCTAGGCACTGGACCTCAAAGAGCTGATCTGCATTATTAGCTATAAATCTCAGGAAACCCTACAGGCCTTGTAACTGAGGACACTCCAGATGAGGCTGTACAGCAAACTGGGAGAGAGGATGAGGCTACCCCAGTGTCCATCTGACCATCAGAGATGGGTGGAGAGGGATCTTGGGCTGTACCCTGCAGAGCTCAGTGCTAAGGTCCACCTCTCAGAGCAGGGGCAGAGGTTTCCAGGGCCATCTCCACAGAGCTTTTCAGGAAGACAGAAGCTCGATGAGCTCCTCTCCTAAGGGACGTGAAGGTCAGAGCCAGGACCTCAGGCTCCCAAGTCCTACTAGGTGTTAGGCTCCAGAAAGTCAGCTCACACCCAAGCAGAAGGGCTAGAAAACACCAGGATAAGAGCATCGGATTATCCTAATCAGCCTTCATGCTGGCCTGTAGGTGGAAGCTGTGAGGCCCTCATTTCACCAAAACCTGAACACAATCTAAAGATACGGCAGGCACTGGGGAGAGCCTGGGGAAATGCCTAGGGGCTGGAAAGCACATGAGCAGGGCTCTGTGGTGCCAAGTGAGCGGGAGTGCAATGGCCTGGCTGGGCTCTAAGTGCGCAACTAGGGACCAGGGCTAACTTGGTTTTGTATATTATGAGTGCTTTGCCTGCATCTTTGCTTATGTATCCAGTGCATGCCTGGCACCCATGAAGGCAAGAAGAGGGCATCATATCCCCTAGGACTAGAGATACAGACGATCGTTAGCGTTATGTGGATGGTAGGAATTGAATTTGGACCCTCTGGAAGAATAGCTAATATGTTTAACCAAAAAGCCATCTCTCTAGCCCTGGATGAGGGGCCTAAAAGCAAGTTTTTTGAGCTGAGTTACAGAGTCATCATGTAGGCATTGAAGTGCTCTTCCATGGTCACAGAAAAAGGGGGTTCAGGCAAGTGCCGCAATTGTCCAATCTGGAGGTGACTGGAGCTTCAGTAGAGGCAAAAAACATTCTGAATCAGTTGACTCACAGACATTACGAGAAGCCAAATGGCGATGAGGATGGAGCGGTCAGAACCACGATGTGTGTGTGGTCCATGGCTCTGATTGGCACCAGAGGAGCTTGGGACTGCTCTGAGCTGGAGGGTGGGGATTTGGAGACAGTGAGTCTAAGAGTAAAGGGTACTCTTAGAACATCCTAGAGGCAGTATTGGGCATCCAGAGATCCAGATGTGACCACATGGGAGAACAGCATCCAATTGGGAACATGCTTCCAGGCCTTGGGGCTGGCAACAACAGTAACAACATCTGCCATGTGTAAGCAGTGATGAGCGCCACAGACCTTTGGTCTTGAGTCAGACAGCAGCACATCAGGGATGCCTGCCTGGCCCTGTCAGGATAAAGAGTGAGGCCTGACCTGTCCAAAGGCACACAGCAAGTGCCCTTGCTGGGGTTTGTACCTAGTTCTCAAACATCTGGGCAGGAGAGAAAGTGAACAGGCTACAGAGGCCACCTGCATCCCGGGGCCTTACCTCACAGGTTTGGCAGCTGGTTAGAGGCCCAGAGCCAACACAGGTTCCTAGGCAAAGGGGAAAATGGCCAAAGCAAACAGCACCAGGCTCTGGTGAGCTTCCTCTTGGCTACCCAGCTTTCACATCCCGCTGCAGAGGAACCAGACAAGAAGCCCAGGGTTTTGTGGAGGAGGCAGGAGAAGTAACCGGTGCTGAAATAGGACTCCTGTACTCTGGATGTGAGGTGAGGTGGAGCTGGCAGACACCACGCTCTGGCTCTTAACTGGCAGGTGAGTTAAGGAGGTAAGTCCCCATTGCATTGGGAGGAAGAAGAATTTCAGGCCCCAAGGTCTCACTATGTAGCCCTGGTTGGTCTGTAACTTGCTGCATAGCCCAGACTGACCTCAGACTCAGTAGAGGTCTGCTTGCTTCTGATTCTTGATTGATGGGACTAAAGACATGTGCCACCATTCCTGGCAAAACTCTCCTTCACTGTATCCCGGCCCCTTACAGCTGTTTATTCCTTCAAACTGAGTGTCACATGACATTCAAGTACATTTGTAAAAGTTAAAAGCAGCATTTTAATAACATAATGTTTAAAAGTTGAAATTCTTTCTTAGCATAAAGTCCATCAAGGTAAACAGCAAAAAACAAAACAAAAAAACAAAAAACCCCACAAATGCCTGCACCAGGGCCTAGGATGGGAACTGTTTTTTATTTTAAAGATGTATTTATTTTTATTTTATATGTATGAGTGTTTTGCCTATATGTATATCTGTGCACCACAGACATGCAGGACTTACAGAGCCCAGAAGGGAGGCTTCAGAGCTCCTGGAACTGGAGTTATAGGCAGCTGGACATGGGTACTACGATTCAAGCTCCAGTCCTCTGCAAGAGCTGAAGTTACACTGTCTGAGGTGGGTGCTGGGAACCAAACCTGGGGCCTCTGGACGAACAGCCAGTGCTCTTGACTGCCGAGCCATCCCCCCAGCCCCAGGGAGTAAACTCTTACGGTGGTCTAAGCTTCCACTTTCTTTCAGTGTTGGATTTTCATCAGATAGGACCGAGGGACTTGACTCACGGGTAAGTGGTTAGGGACAGTGGTGTGCTTCTCAGCCTCCCTGAGTCTCCAGCTGCCACAGAAGGCTCAGTTCAGGACATGGAGAAGATCCTGACGTGTGATAATTGTGGGCTGAGCTTGTTTGAGTCTGTGGTGTTTAGATATAATCATCATTATTAATTATTTGTGTGTGTGTGTGCCACGGTGGACTTGTAGAGATCAGAGTACAATTTTGTGGAGCCCATTCTCTCCTTCCACCTTCACATGGGTTCCAGGGATTGAACTCAGGTTGCCATGAGTGCTTTACTCGCTGAGCCATATCACTGTTCCTAAAATTGTGTATTTATTTTTAATTAATTTTTTTAGTTAGCATACAAAGTAATGAGTTTTCATTGCTAGATTTTTGTATATGTGTATTTATACATTGTTTTTTTCCCCTTTTTTTTGGGGGGGGGTGCTTACAGGGTTTCTCTATGTAGCTCTGGCTGTCCTGGAACTCGCTTTGTAGATCAGGCTGGCCTGGAACTCAGAGAGCCACCTGCCTCTGCCTCCTCCATGCTGACACTTAAAGTGTGAGCCACCATGCCTGGCTACATTGTATCTTGTTTTTATTCATTCCCCACCGTCCCCCTCTTTTGCTTGTACTTTTCCTCCCCAATGTTCCCCTCTCTTTTCCTGTCATATATGAGTGTGTATTGGGCATAGATTCTGCATATGAGAGAAAACATTTGATATTTTGCCTTGCCCCTCATTACCCTGTTCTTCCCCTTTCATAGTCTCTCTTCTGGGTCCTTCTGTGCCGTGTGTGTGTGTGTGTGTGTGTGTGTGTGTGTGTGTGTATTCTGTTTATGAGAAAAAACACTGGACATGTGTCTGAGTCTGGTTTATTTCTCTTAGTATGATGACCTTTGTTCCATCCATTTCCCTACACTGTATTTTTCAATATGAAGAAAAGAAAAGGGGGGTGAGAAAAAAGAGAAGAAAAGAGGGAGAAAGAAAAAGAGAAAAGAAAGAAAATTAGAAGAGTGTCAAGGTATTTGCTGCCTAATAATATGTTACCCGTGAAAGGAAAAAAGTGCATATGAGCACCATGGCATTCACATACATGTGTGTATGTACAAACACATACACACAACAAATAAATGTTAAAAGTTTTTACATTAGAAGCGGGGAGAGAGGAGGAGGAAGGAACTTGTGGGAGGGGCATGAGGCATCATTTTTTTTTCTGTGCTGACTGTTATGTTACTGAAGCCTCCAGACCATCCACTTCTCGTGTCCTGGAGGCATCTTCTCCCACCCAACATCTGTCACAGCAACTGCATCTGGGTTACGTGTTTCTGAAAGGCCCCTGGAGTACACAGCCCTGACCTGGCTATACAGTACGCGTGCCAGGGTTCTAAGTCAGTGAAAAGAAGGCCCAAACAGGAGGCGTGGTCTAGGGGCTTCCCCAGGCTTGATTGTGTCTTTAAGGTGGGCAGACTGGGGAACCCAGGGCCCCACAAAGTCTCAGGTTTCTCTGGTTCTGGGTACCTTCATTTCTGGGAACTGGCTGTGCTTTGGAAAGAGAGAAATGAGAAGCAAACCCTTTTGGGCCCCAGCATTACCCCCCCTTTTCAATCTTCTTCCGCTGAGTCACAGTCAAGAGCCAGGCATCTCAGCCTCCCTAGGGCCACTGGCTGGGGCAGAATTCAGGGTCAGGTGAGGACATAGCATCTGAAACAGGCTCTCTTTCCTGCCAGCATCCTCTGTGAGTGGTTCTGGGGGAGCTGAGATACTTTATGTCCTGTCCTTTCTGTTTCCTTGTCACATGTTTGCCCCTCAAGCTTTTACTAAGTGTCAACTGTATGTGTGCTGGATACAGGAAGGTAGGTGGCCCTTAGGTTCCTTGTCTTTAGAGAGCTCATGGATGGAGACATAGATTCTTCCTGATTGTCCCCCAGTGAGGGACTCTGGGTCTTTAGGATTTCTCTTGTCAGCAACAGGGACCCACACAGGTTTTTCCCTCCAGGGAGAGCTGGCCATATTATAACGCTTATCAGAAAACTGCATATATACCTCTGCACAGGAATGCACATGAACACACATAAGCATGGGTGTGGCACTTGAACGCCAGCTGGAATTCATGATCATAGGTGTCCTTAGAGAACCTCTGTCGGGTGGAAACTGGGTCAGAGCTGTGTGTGTGTGTGTGTGTGTGTGTGTGTGTGTGTGTGTCTGTGCGCGCGGTGTGTGTGTGTGTGTGTGCTTTATCCTGTCTCAGAGACCCAACCACTACTTCTGTGTCATGGTAGCCTTGGAAGCCTCAGCACTTCACCTCCTTTCATGGAAAATAAAGTTGAAACCGAGGGTCGGTCCCCTTTCTTGGCTTGCCTGGTGTCACACAGTATTTTGGGGGGATAGGTCTGCGAAGGTGACTACCCAGATCTCTGACATTTTTGGAGCCCAGCTGAGGACCAAGGTCAGCTCTTCCGAAGCTTCAGTGGCTTCTCCAGGACTTCCTGCTCTCTATACCTTTGCTAGGACTGTCCTGGCTAGTGTCCTGCATCTGTCCTCTCTCCTGAGTGAACAGGCCTCCCATTCTGTTGAAATGCTCCCCACCTTGCTTATCCTCTGGGATGTTCCTGTGACTCAAGACTCCTTCCTTCTAGCCTTTGTCCCCTTTATGTCCACCCACTAAGGCTAAAATTGGCCCATGTACCACTTTTTCCTGTCCTTTATATAAGAATTGAGTTGGGCTGGGGTAGATAGCTCAGTGAGCAAAATGCTTGCCATGCAGGCACGAGGACTGAATCCATAGAAAAGCCAAGCGTGGCTGTGCCTGTTTATAATCCCAATGGCTGGGGAGGTGGAGACAGGAGGATTCCTGGAACTCACTGGTCAGCCAGTCTAGCCTACTTGATGAGTTCCTTTGAGAGACGCTAATCAGAAGAGGAGAGTGCCCGAGGAATGACTCCCAAAGTTGACTCTGGTCTCCACATGCATGTTTACACACACACACACACACACACACACACACACACACACACACTCGCGCACGTGCGCGTACGATAAAAGCTGAGCTTTTTATCCACTGTGTAAGCAAATGAGTTAGCCTACCATGTTCTCAAAGATGCTGGCAGGAGGCATAAAGCTTCTGGTTTGGAAACAAAAGAGGGATCACCTCTATTTTACTCTGAACAAGGGCTGTCGGTGCTTACTGACCCGACAAAGGTACAGAAGTGGAAAAGAGCTGTGGAGCTTAGTCTTCCAACTTCCTGCTGGGGCTCTTTAGCATCACTTCCCAAAAAGCTACATGCATTAGGGTTCTTGACTCAGTGTGCTGGGGGATGCAGGGAAGACAAGCCTAGAAGGAGGCTTTGCCTTCCGGCCACTGTTCTGTGTCCCAGGAGGGCTGCAGAGGACATTTTAAACATTGTTTCACTTTAATTTTGAAATATTTGATCTGTCTAAGAATTTATGGTGAGGGGGACATTGAATTTTTCCCCAAAATTATTCTGGTATTAATTGTTGGAAATTACATCTGGTCAGTTACCATTCTCTCCTAACCTTCCTGAAACCTGTCGTTTGAAGTACAGTCTAAACTTATAAAAATAGATTTCTGATACGTTTACAAAGATTGCAGGGGCATTACCAGTACCAGGGACTCGATGCCCTGTGCCTGGTGCAGTGAGACATCCCATAGTCCACTCCCATGGTAACAGTTTGAACCCCAGGGAAACACAGGCAGGGTCTGCTCTGAGGCAGCAGAAACTCCCCTGCAGCTGTCATGGAGGGCTTGAACTGCATTCTGAGAAGATTCCTTTCTATGAAAACATTTAACACGACTTAATAAAAACTTCAGGACTTATAACACAACTTAATAAAAACTTCAGGCGGGCCTCACTGGTAATGCACTGCCTGGCATATAGGAGACCCTGGGTTCAATCTCTAAAAAAAAAATTAAATAAGAAAGCAAAATTTTAATTTTAAAACATTCTATCATTTGACATTATTATGTAATATGTAACTTATTGCTTCAGTTGTTGTTGCTACCATTGCTGTTTTTTGAGATAGTAACAGTATGCCAGGCTTCCTGGAACTCACTCTATAGCCCAGGCTGGCCTTATTTATACTCATGGCAATCCTCACGCCTCAGCCTCCCAAGTTATTTCCTTTTAACTAGCTAATTATTAATTTCACATGTTTTTACATGTACGTGGGGGCCCACATGTGGGTGGATTATCCACGTATATGGATGCCGGTGCCTATGGGGGCACTGAGGCTAACATCAGGGGTCCTCATTGGTTTCTCTGCCTTGTTCTTTGAGGCTCTGAGACTCCTGTCTCTACCTCCTAACACTGGACGGGACTCACAGGCAGGTCACTTCGCCCTGTGGCACGTCAGTGGGTTCTGAGCTCATGGAACTGCAGTCTTGGGTACTTTCCCTGCTGAGTCACCGTCCCCACCTGTTACTGTTACTTCACTTCTAATAACCTTTTTTAAAAAAAAAAAACATATTTTTTATGCGTATGTGTGTGAGTGCCTGCATGCACCTGTGGGCTCTATGTGTGCTCCACAGAGGCCAGAAGAGGGCATCCCTGGAACTGGAGTTCCAAGTGGCTGTGAGTCTACATGTGGATACTGGGAACTGAACCTGGGTCCTCTAAAGACCAGAATGTTCTCGTAACTGCTGAATCATCTTCCCAGCCTCAATGCCGTTTCTTTTAAAATTACTTTTTTGGGGTTAGGGATGTAGCTCACTTGGTGGAATGTTTGTTAAGTATGCCTGTTTGATACCCAGGACTGCATAAAGCCATGCGTGGTGGCACATGCCTATAACACTCCCAAAATGCAGGAGATGGGGCAGGAGAAGTTTAAATTAAACAAACAGACAGACAGACAGACAGACAGACAGATAAATATTGATCCTATGTTTAAAATACTTTCAATTTTGGTATTTTTCTTTTTCCTTTTTTAAGGTAATTTTTTTATTTTTATTTTATATACATTGGTTTATGTCTGTGTGAAAATGTCAGGTCTCCTGGAATAACAGCCAGTGCTCTTAACTGCTGAGCCATCTCTCCAGCACCTATATTTTTCATTTAACCTAACTTTTTTTGTTTGTTTGTTTTTTGAGACAGGGTTTCTCTGTAGCTTTGGAGTCTGTCCTGGAACTAGTTCCTGTATATCAGGCTGGCTTTAAATTCAGAGAGATCTGCCTGCCTCTGCCTCCTGAGTGCTGGAATTAAAGATGTGTGCCACCACCACCTGACTTTACTTTTTTATACCATTTGGTTATATTATGGTTTGTTTTCTTGTCCATTTGTTTATTTTGCTTTGTTTTTTTGAGACAGTGTTTCTCTGTGTAGCCCTGGCTGTTCTGAAACTAGCTCTGTAAACCAGGCTGGCCCGAATTCACAGAGATCCACCTGCCTCTGCCTCCTGAGTGCTGGGATTAAAGGTGTGTGCCACTATTGCCGAGTATACTATGTTGTTTTAACCTTGTAAACTATCACTGTCAAAACGGTAATTACATGCAAATCTTATAATAACTGATGTTGTAAATGATTATAAAAACATGAACATGTTTTCTAGAATAAAAACAAGAACAACTACAGGGTAAATAGAGAACGCATTGTGAGTTAAGCAAATCTCTGTTTCCTTACTTAAACCTCAGACCTATCAGAGAACACCTAGACACGAATAATTATCACAAAGTTCAAAAACCCTTGATATTGCCTGACTTTCAGACTTATAAAAGCTGTCCATTGATAGATATTTACATTGCCATGCAAACATGTTTGTTAAGTAAGAGGCTAGCACATTTTTATTAGCAGTTTGTAGTTTATGATTTTTCAATATTTAGATTTGTATATTAGGACCGCTGCGTGTCCCTTTGCCCAGAGCACAGCATACGCCAGGGCCTGTGGTACAGAGGGAAGGAGGGAGGTGTGTGTGTGAGTCCTTCATGCTGCAAAGGGAAAATGAGCAAGTGTTCTTGGGTTCCTGATGAAGGGGAAGCTGAAGAGATGGCACGGGGCCCAGAGAGCAGATCTCAGAGAAGAATGAAGTGATCCGATTTACAATTTATTTAGGACGCCTTACGGGGATTCCGTAAGGCAGATGATGGCACTGCCCTCACTTTGCAGGGTAGGGGTGGGGAGTTGGGGGAGGAGGGGAGACTGAGTTTCAAGGATGTCCAGACTTGATGGTGATCTGGCCCTAGAACCACCTAGCAAGCCCAGCAGCTTTGCCACCCACATGGAATCGGCCCAGGTCAGGTTCTCCACAGCAAGCTCTCTCTGGCCATGGCCAGCTTGCCCAGGGACAGGAAGCAGGGCTCCACGTGGCAGGGAATGTAGCACTCCCACTTTTGTCTGCTGCACTAGGCGCCCCAGCAGCTCCAAGGTGAGGACACAATGGGGAACTGTGTCCTGGGTCACCCGCACTGCCTTTTTACAAGGGTTTAGGGATCTCTTCCTTATAGACCACTTCATAGCTGCCCGGCACCTGCCCTGGCCTTCAATCCCAGAACCAGCCCTGGGGGGGGGGGCATGGTTTTCTTTGAAATATATGGACGGGTAGGTTACCGGTTGGTGCTAGGGTGGGAAGGAGAGTGATGTGTAGATGTGAGTGGAGAGGCAGTTAGTTCCCTGTTCACAACTGAAAACTGAGGTACCAGAAAGCAGGTGCTTGCTTACGGCTGCCCAGGGATGCCGGGAGAGCCCTGGATGGCTTGACCCTGCTCTAAGGTGCAGGGATCTGAAGATCGGGCCAACGACGACCTGGAGGCTTCCTCAGCAAGACCTGGCATTGCTGACCTCGCCTTGAGGTCCTTTCCCTTGCATTCCCTTGCATGAGACCTGGTGGTGTGCTCATGTCTGACACCCTCCTTTACCTGTGCACATGCACCCCCTTTTTCTGCTGTCCATGCCTATCTCTATGTTCGCTGTGCTCCAGGTTGGACACTAGATACCCTAGAGGCCACACCAGACCTGAGCCCTCCCTAGGAGAGCCCTTAGTGTGATGATGGAGTTGAAGGGACTAACTTCAGTCAAGGAGGGCTTCCTGGAGGTGGGGGCCTAAGCTGAAGCTTTGACTTTGACAGAGTGTCTCCTCCCCGGGCCACTGGATGTTCTCTGAGTCTTCCTTTCCCTTGAATGGCCGTCAGGTTCCAAGAAGTGTCCCCTGTCTCTCATTGCTGGTTCCAGGAACCACAGCTCCTGGCAGCATTTGCCTGGCATTCTTTCTTAGAGCCTACTTAGGTTTCTAGAATCTGAGGACAGGGAGAGTTGGAGGTGGAGAACGGAAAGAGATAGATGACTCTCGACAGAACTAGATATTGGGAGGTGGCCCTAGACTGTCAGACAGGAGGGGATAAACACACTAAGGTTGGGCCTAGGAGGTCAATGGAGTGAAATGCCCTATCTCCTGGTCTGCCATGTGCCCAGGCTTTGGAGTTCTCCCTACACAAAAGGAAAATGATTTCCTGGGGGGGGGGGGTCCATCACTTCCTCCAGTTTTCCATACTCCATTTGACATCCCACTAAATTGGTCCCTAGCATTCTGTCCTACAAGGAATTGGCCCTCAGAGGAGGCCTTCATCAGAAAACATCCAGAGAGGGGCAGGCCAGGGGACAGTATGGCAAGTTCTCAACAGTGAAGGGGATGGGAGCAGAACTTTCAAGGGCCTGGAAAGAACATGACACCTTCACTATGAATCTTTTTATAATGTCTCTTTGCCTTCTTGGAACTAAGTAAGTCACCCCCCTCCAAGTCCCCCAGCAAGTTGGGTGGCTGACTGGGGTCAGGGAGAGCCAGGCCCTGATAGGTGTGCAGAGGCAGTCCAAATACCCTCAAGGTCAGTTGGGCCTCTCCTCTGGGTGTCTTCCACCCACTCCACCTCTGAGCTGGCACCGGGCCTGCCCATTCGCCTGGGACCTGCCTGAGCACATTGAGCAACCAGTTCCTGAGAAGCGTGGAAAGCTGTTTGGTTTAAAATTAACTCCCCCGCGCACCCTCCTGCCCGCCCTCCTCAGAGTTCTTGGAAGAGGCGCTCTGCTCTTCCTGGGAAGAGGCCTCTAGCCACAGCTGCTATGGTTCTGGCGAAAACACCTCACCCAGGGTGGGGGCGGAGCTGCCCACACCGTGCCTTCTCTGCCCTCCACAGGTAAACGGCTGAGACCCAGGAGAGAAACTGGGGACAATCAAGTTGCTGGAAAAGAGGGTGCCGGTGTCCCCAAAGCCCACATCTCTCAACCCTGATACTGACTGGCCGACTCCAAGTGAAAAGGTACAGGACTATGCAGACCCAGCTTGGGCACCTTTTGGGTAGGTCACAGAGCAAATGGATCCCACAGACAATAAACCCAGAATTTTGGCCTGTGATGAGAATGTGTATCTCATGAAATTAAAAACAGCCTAGTTAAGAGCCACCCAGCTTCGCCTGTTAAAGCTGAGACTACCCTCTCAATGCCAGACTGATGATAGCAAGGTCCCAGGGGTGCAGACACCCAAGTGCCAGGGTTAACAGTACACCCTCCCAGGAGGTTTCTTCCTGCGCCCCCCCCCCCCCCCCCCCCCCATCTTTTCAGGCTACCACGGGAACCATTTCTGTCTGGATAGGACTTCATGTGTCTAAGCTTTGAGGAAATGTTTCCGGAGGACCTCTCTCTTCTGTGGCTCTTCCTACCACACTGTCCCCTGAAAGGAGCTGAGGAAAACAAAGGAATGTTGGCCAAGGGGAAAGGTCAGCGCACACGCGAGCACGCACGCTCACACACACGCATGAATGCACACACTGATGTGCTCAGTGGGAAGGGCAAATGCTTCTTGGGGGAGGCTGAGAGCCCAGAGGCACTTAGAACATAGCCTTGGCCTAACACAGGCTGGAAGTGAACTCTGGATCTCTGGTAGAAAGAGCCCACGTCTGGTGACAGGAAGTATCTGGTCTGGTTTATTGGTGCTAGGGCTGGGGAAAGTCCCCAGAGCAAGGTTCTGACTCTGGCCCTGGAAAGCATGTGTTAGATGCCATGCCCCCTTCAACCATACTATCGGGATATCTCTGGGGACAGTCAGTTCCTGTGTGGGTGGAACACTTCTGGAGGGCTTGTAGTAGCCCCAAGTCTTCCCCACCTTCAGAGGCTACTTGCTATGCCCTGGACTCTGCTTGCTTTGACCAGGCCTGGGTCATGGAAACCATTGTCTTTCCACTGAGCGGGCAGCTTTTGGCCTCCTTCTGCACTCAGCCTGCAGCATCTCCCGCCCAGAGATTAGTATCGGCTTCCATGTGCTTGGCTTTTCCCCAAAGTCAGGCCCAGTCACTCTCCACTTACCCTCTGATCTGCTGTCTGGCCAGAATTAACCCCCCAGGGACCTCCTCTAGCTTGTGTCCCAGACACGGATCCCAATCCAGCTGCCCTGCAGTGACCACTGGGGTGCCCCCTAGTTGGCTGGCTGTACTTCCCCACTGAACCAGAGAGGGGTGGGGAGGCCAAGTGTCAGCCTGCTCCAGATTAAAACTGGTCTAACAGGTCGTTGTGAAAAGGGCTGCTCTGGCCTGCCCAGGCTCCTTTGTAAAGGAGGAAATCCTCAGCGACCAGAAGCCTGAGACGCAGACCCTTGGCGCTGGATAGCATTTGATTTCAGGCCCCTGGCCCTTCACTTCACCACGGACACCTAGGGTAGGAGGGTTTCCATCTGGGAGTGAAGATCATGGCTTCAACTCCATTCTAGCAGGATCTGCAGCAAGTTAAATGCTGAACTTAGGTTCAGGGGCCCATGGGACCAAGGGAATGCTAGGTGACTCAGTAATCTTGAATGAAACATCTTAGCCAGTTAGATCTGCTGACAAGAAATACCTGGGTGGCTTTGGTACCTGCCCTCAAATTCCAGAGGCACTGAGTCTAGAGAGGGACTCCACATAGGCGGCTCTCCAAACCCATCTTCCTCTGCCAGGGCAGAATCTTCCTGGGCGTAGCTCCAGCACTGCCCCCCACGCCTCCGGCCAAGAACTGCTGAACGTCTTTACTCTTCAGAGATCAAGGCTTTGGCAGGCGAGTCTTCAGAGACGGGTAGAGTAGTAGTTACAAGAATAAGGCCTAGGGTCAAGGCTTATGACCCTGAGCTAGCCATATTTCTCTCTAAGCTAGCGGTTCCCAACCTTCCTAAAGCTGTGACCCTTCATACAGTTCCTCACATCGTGATGACCCCCAACCATACAATTATGTTCACTGCTACTTTATAACTGTAATCTGCTACTGTTACGAATCGTAGTGTAAATATCTGTGTTTTCTGATGATCTTAGGCGACCCCTGTGAAAGGGTCGCAACTCACTGGCTGAGAACCGCTGCTCTAAGCCGTACTCCTTCATCTGGAAACAGGGACAACCTCTGAGAGTGTGCAGGACTAGAGTGAGGATTAATGGGGATGCCGGGCGGTGGTGGCGCACGCCTTTAATCCCTGCAGAGGCAGAGGTAGGCGGATCTCTGTGAGTTTGAGGCCAGTCTGGTCTACAAGAGCTAGTTCCAGGATAGGCTTCAAAGCTAACAGAGAAACCCTGTCTCAAAAAACCAGAAAAAGCCGGGCCGTGGTGGCGCACGCCTTTAATCCCAGCACTCGGGAGGCAGAGGCAGGCGGATCTCTGTGAGTTCGAGACCAGCCTGGTCTACAAGAGCTAGTTCCAGGACAGGCTCCAAAACCACAGAGAAACCCTGTCTCGAAAAACCAAAAAAAAAAAAAAAAAAAAAAAAAACCAGAAAAAAAGGGGGGCGGGGATGAGCCACATCCAAAGTTGCCACCCTTGCCTCCTCTGGTTTCCTATGGCATCCCCTGTGAACCTTCTCACTGGCCATCATGGAGCCATCCCCCTAGAGTTCTTTAGAAACAAGCATCAGAGCTCAATTCAGCCTGCTAGACCCCGAGGCGATCCGCCAGCTAGAATAAATTCAGTCATGGCCCCTTTGTCCTTCCTACTCCATCCTGGATTCTAGGCTTGTTTCTGCCTTAAAGCCATTGCACTGATTGTTCCCAGGATCTGGCACAGCCCTTGCCCACGACATCTACAGGGCCGCCCCCTGCTCTTCACTCTAGTAACCAGGTTCACTGCGGTGCTACTCAGACATGACCCAGGCCCCCTTTGCTGTGGGGTGATCCCATGCCTAAGGCCATTCTCTGCCCTCACCTCCTGCCGTGTCTTTCTTCACCCACTCAAAACTTGCCCATTTGTTCCTTGTTTACAGCCTCTCTTGCACTTCTGACAAGCCCCATGAGGATGGAGGCCGTGTCTGTCATGTTCCCTGCTCTGTCCCTGGGGCCTTGATGGAGGCTGGCTCAGTGACCAAAGAGCATATGTGAAGGGACCCAATCAGTAAAGGGTTACTATTTGGATATTGCGCAGGGTCCAGCACGCCCACCTCATGGTTCACCCTTCCCCCCTAGCTAGTGCCAACAGGGTTGCCCTTTAGAGTAACCCAGGACCATCCAGGGGTGATGGCACTGGCCAGCTGCTTTTCCCTTTCTGTTAGGCTTGGGCCATTGACTTGGGTCTGGGGTCCAATGACATGTTTTCTGCTGTCTCTTTGCCCAGGCAGGCATTGCTATTCCTCTCATATAAAGACTGAAATGCCAGTCGCTGGCAGCCCCTTCTCAGGAAAGAGGTAGAATCTAATCTGGCTTGCCGTGAGCCAGGCGTGGTCCATTGCCAGGACCGCTCCAGTGCTTTCAGCAGGCAGAGACAGGTGGAGAAAAACCACTGTCCAGGCTGCCACCCGGTTGCCCAGTCTCATCTCACAGAGCCGCGGGGGCAGAGGCGCAGTTCGGTGAGTGTTGTTCTGTCCTGAACTCTCTCTGTGTGGCCTCAGCCAGGCCCTGCTCCTGGTATTTGAATCCAGAGTAGCATTTGGACCCCACTCCCAGGAAGTACGGAGTCCTCATGCAGATTTGCACCTGGCAGGCACTGTTAGGCAGTCCCTACTGGGAAGAATGGGGTTCTCTCTGCTTCCTCTTGTTATAGCAGCCGAATGTCCAAGTTGCAGCACCAGACGTGGAAAGCCTAACTCTGGTCCCCATGTGCCCACTACTTTCCCACCAGATGACTCAGATCTGGGGGGTGGAGGGCAACAGGGTTTACCCCACACATTTTGGGAATGAAAAAGAGGTTGAGATCAAAGTTGAAGAAAAGACACTACCAGGGCCATGGTGACACTTGGAAGAGGCGCACTGTTGGCCCCCACAGTCAGCAAAAGTTTATCAGCTCCCACCAGCAACAGAGAAGGTGTCAGACCAAAGAGATGGACTTGGGAACTACTCCCGGCTTTTAAATATCGTTCCTCCTTCATATACCTCTTGTTCATTCTAGTCCAATGTCATTCTTTAAAAAGTATTATTTCTTATGTGTGTGTTTCTGGGTGTGTCTATCGGTGCACAAAGGCCAGAAGACAGCATCAGCCCCACTGGAGCTGGAAGCTCTGGGCCTTTGAAAGAGTAGTGAACATTCTTGACCCCTGAGCCATCTTCCCAGCCCCCACAATGCCATTCCTCTTCTTTGTCATGACTGTCTTCTTGTCCTCAGTCCTGGGCCTCCCTGATTGTTTTTTTCCTTTTTGTCTTCTATATCAAGATGCTGTTTCTCATAGCTTTCTGCTCACGATCCACCATTCCTGGCCTCCTGTAATTTGCAACTCCTAATGGTCTCTGGACTAAGAACACATCCCAAATTGTTTCCAAAAAAAGGTTTAGAGGGCCATGAGCATAGCTGAGAGCTTTCCTGGGAGGCCCGCACACACCAGAGAAAAGATCAGGCGTAGCAGGATCCCAGCAGTCTAAGTATTCCCAAGTGAGACCACCAACCCTGGACAGCGTCTCCACCTTAATTATATTTCTGATGTACAAGACCTTGACTCAGAGGAGAGGGTCCTCTCACCCCAAACAGCCTGAGCAAGAATTCTGACACCCCTCCCCCAGACCTCATGGGTCACTATCTGTGTCAGCTGATCTGCCCCGTGCCTGGGTGGCGCTCTCTCAGGCATCACGGCAGGGATCCATACCTCGTGCCTTTGTTCCCACTCTGCTTTCTCCTTGCAAGGACTGGCCGCCTGAGCTCTGTGACTCCTTCTCAAGTTACCCCCTCCCTCCGTGCCCACTTATACACTGAATGGGATACTTCCTCTTCATACACCTCTTGGGCTTGGAGCTCTTCTGCAACCCACTTTCCACATAGCCAGCAGGGCAGGGGATAGCACCCTAGAAGGCTTGCCGGCAGAACTTCACCTCCTGTCTCTCATTTCCCAAGGGGAACAAGAAAGGCAGCTCCCTGTTACCTGCACCCCCAGGCCCCTGGCAGAGACCACTCAGTCCTGTAAGGTTCTGAGCTTCGGCTTTTCCTGATGTGGAACTGGATTGCAATAACAGGAAGAAAGAGAGACAAACTACCTGCTACACCAGATGACCCGCGGAAGGCTTCGTAAATGGAAGGCATAATTTTATTATCGTTACAGAAAAATCAGTGGAAGAGAAACTACCAAACTGGTTTTTGTGCTATAATAATTGTTTTATAAAGTCTCGTTAGGTATGCATTTCTCCCTCTCTCGCATGCGGGCAACTTCCTGAACAGGAAGCAGACACAGAAGAGCTGCAGCAGCAGCCCTAGCCAGCATCCCCTTCCTGACTTAGAGCGTGCCCTCTGCAGGGGCTGCACCACAGAGAAGCCAGCTCCGTGAAGCCATGGCATTGCCCCAGAGGAGATGAGTGTGAGCTCTGTATTTCTGGCTCCCATTTGTCTGCTTACCCAGCCTCCCGGAGAGGCTAGGGGAAAAAGGGAGTGGGCACATTCATATGCAGGTGGTCAGGGCCAGGGTATTCCGGACTACTTTGGGCCCAATGTCTTGTCTGGGGATGGGGGTCTCCACAGGGAAGAACCAGGGCTGGGGATCTTTGGCTGACTCAGGCCTTAGGGCAGAGAAATGGGATGGCTCACGCCATTAATCCACCCCCAATCCCATAAGGAAAATAAATAAAATAAATACTGTTTAACTGTGTAGCCCCCCTCCCCACCAGCCTGGCCTACTTCCCCACCAGGGGCTGGCACCATCAACCTCAGTTCCTCTGGCTCATACTCTCCCAGAAACAGATTGGCTGCTCTCCAGATGGGTAGGGGGCCTGCCCTACCCAGCAGATGGAGAAACCAGGGCTGGGAGAATATACAGAGTTCAGGTGGTTAGGGCACGCCAGTGAATGGAGGCCTGGGTCCAGCCTCCAGGGTGAGATGAGGTCCTGCCTGTCTCTCTCCGCTCTGACACATGGCTCACCACAAACAGCCACATGGGACCTGGAGGCACTGACCTCAGAGTTGTGCGACAACCCCTCTTCCACCTGCCTTGTTCTTGTTGGCACTTTCTGATCCAGCTCTATGTATGCAGGCACCAGGGTGACCGAAGAAGGGACAGCAGGAACCCAGTCCAGCTGGGGCTTGTGTCCCCTCCAGGCTATAACGATGTGAGGCAGAGCAGGGTGCCGGGCCCTATCAGAGTTGGAAGGGGTACTGTCGGAGGTAGTCGGCCATGCGCCGGGGCAGCGGTAGGCAGTCCACGTCGGCCACCAGACGGTTGATGACGAGGCGACACAGATGTTGTAAGCTGCGGGCACTGCTTCTGCGCACAAAGGGCTGCACCAGTTTTAGATGCACAGCGGTAGCCGTGGGGAGGGGCAGGGTTGAGTCACCAGGTGCATCTTGTTTAGGTGCAGGCAGGGCTGGGGTGGGAACGGGATCCGGGCTGTCACTCCGGGTGTCAGCAGCACAGGAGGCCACATAGTGCTGCACAAGGCTGACCACATCTGGGAAGGCCAAGATTCGAGGTCTGGACAAGCAGTTGGAGTCCAGTCGGAAGCTGGAATCAGCATACTCGATGCGTACATTGGTGGGGCCACGGGTAGTTTTGACGGACAGCGTGAACAGGTAGCTGGGGTGGGTACTATCTCGTACTAGGAATGTACCCTCTGGCATCTTCTGTAGGTGTTGTCGGGCCTCGCTGGCCGTAATGGAACCCCAATACCATCCTAGACAAGCAGAGAGGAGGCCAAGGGACTGATCAGAAATTACCTAAAGGTACCAATCCAGGGTAGGCCAAGGTGGAGAGTCCCTTCACAGTTCCCTGGACAGGGATGTAGTTCTCCCATCAGACTTAGGGGCAGGGCCTTCCCAGATCAGAGTCAAAATCCCAAGAGCTTAGTTCCTCCATAGACTTCCCAGAACAAGGTCTGTTTTTCCCCTGAGACTTACCAGATTCCCGAAGGTAGGAGAACGTCTTGGCTATACACAGCAGGTCCTCCTCAGGGTCTAGCACCTTTGGTTCGCTCTCTGACTGGACAGGAGTCTCCTCTGCCACCTCCTCTGGGAATGCCCCAGTGGGCAAGGGCTGCATGGCTGACCCAGGCAGCTCCAGAGACTGGGCCCACAGAGGCCGCTGCCCAATTCTCTCCACAGCCAGCAAAGGACAAGATCTAAAGTGGGAAGACAGGTGACAGAGGTCTCACATATTCTTCATTTTAAAAAAAATCCTTTGATTGCTTCCACCAAATATATTGATTTAAAACAAACAAAAAACAAAGAACAGGGTCTCACTATGTAGCTCTGGTTGGCCTGGAACTTGTTATATAGACCAGGATGCCCTCACATTCACAGAGATCCACCTGCTTCTGTCTCCCAGATGCTGGGATTAAAGGGGTGCGCTACCACATCCAGCTCGTGTATACAGGTCTTTCCTTCTTGTTTTTTGGGGTGCTGGGAATCGACCTCAGAGGCTTACACACGCTCCATGTTCCACCACTGAACTATACCCATAACCCTGGTTTCCTAGACCCCACTCTCCTGCATTTACTGCATACAAACTAACCCTCATCTGGTATCACCAAAATCACAGGCCACTCCCCATGAGCATTTTCAGCCTTCCTACCACAAGAACGGGGGCTCTGTCCAAGCAAAAGCTATCTCCCAGTTGAGCTCTGACTGAGGTAGCCTGTCAATACCACTGTATCTCGCGGAGTCACAGGAAAAAGGAGGGTGGGATCCTCAGGGAATCTGGAGATTACAGGAGAAAGCCTAAGGTTACACGGTAGCTTCCTGTCAAGGGAAGTATCTGTTAGGGGGACCCCAGTCCACACTGGCTAGGACTTCAAGACTTCAACAAGCTTTTACCCATACCTGCCAGATTCCCGTCTTGGGCTCTGTTCCTCGCAGGCGAGGAGAGACAGTGGCCTCTAAAGGCACTGATGGCTCTCATCTCTCATAAATACGAGCACCCACCAAAGGACAGAACACTCAACCTACATTCCAGACTCCACCCTGTCGAGTCAGCCCTGCTATGCTGTGTGGTTTTGTGTACAGTTTGCTCTTGTTTCTGCTGTCATTTCCCCTCCTTCCAGATGAGCATCTACTTGCCCTGAGGGGTTTGGCCATTTAGAGAGCTGGGGTTAGGGGAACTAAAATGACTGAAATTCAAAGGAAGCCCACGGGGTGGGGGGTGGGGGGTGGGGGACAATCCAGGGGCTCTGCTTCCTGAGGAAGGAATGTTGGCTTTCTCTTATTTCTAATAAGATATGTGCCCAGGCCTCAGTTCTGTGTCTAGGCCCCTGTTGGATCTTAGGACCTCAAGATAATGAAACCCTAGGCTCTGCCACACTTGCTGTGGGAAGGCCATCTGTATCGGGTATTGCTTGTAAACAAGGGGTGGTTAGGAGCTGGTGGCAATCAGCAGGGACAGAAGCCAAACCTGACAGTGTAAGTGGTGTTTAGAAGGTCATGGTCATGAGAAGGGGTGACTAGCTCTGCCTGCCAAGGGTTTTTCCACACTCAAGCAGTCTGAGTATGCTGGGAGAGCTCTGGCGTCCCATTTAGGGAGCGAGAGGCAGAATTTTGAGGTGACCGGCCTGCTGTGGCTCATAGCCGATCCAGGTACCATCTGAGAGAATGTGGGCACCTAGCCAGTCATTCCACAAGCTCTGTGGTAAGCATGGCCAGACAACGTAGTGAGGCCTCTTGCACAGTCCCACATGTGTGTGTAGTGGCACTTCTGGGCTTAGTATCATGTCTAGGTGTAGAATGACTGTTTCTCCCCGCAGGTGGCTGGGGAGAGACTACATATCTAGGCATGGGAGTGTCTACCACTGTGTCATCGTGGTGGGGCCGAGGACTGGTGTGTTCCAAGAACCTGTGTGTGCACGTCTTGGAATCTAGCCATTAAGTCTGCCTGAGGACACATGCCAGTGAGATGAACCAAGCCCAGGGAGGTGGGATACACACACAAAATCTGTTAAAGATGTTGTTTCCCTAATACCCAACACTGTCCCTGAGGTTCCCAGGGGTCTTCAGTGAAGGCAAAGTCAAAGAGGCTGTGGGAACCAAGAATGGAGGAGGGGGCCATCCAAGAAGGAAGACAGGGTGTGGGTCTGCTGGGGAGTCCAAACTTCAGGTGAAAGAATGAACAAACATGATAGGAACGTCCCGGCACCTCCATGTCTTTCCTGGAGACCCAGGACTGCTTAGAGCCATGGCTCTTCAGCCCGGCCCCACCTTCCACTCTCCCTCACTTGGCACCATACCCACGTCAGTTAAAAAAGTTAAAAAACCACCACCAGACCACCACCCAGCTCTCCCTGACTTTGTAATACGCATGCATATGTATTTCCTCTCCTAGCGTTTCCTAAATTCCTGACTGATAGATGACCTAAGGGGACCCTGAAACAGTAAACAGGTGTGCGAAGACCACTCAGCTGGGGCCAAGACTTTGTCTTATCAAAGTCCCACTGCTACTACAGTCCCATATTCCGTGCCTTTGGGAAACCTTGGAGAAGGCAAGCAAAAGGCTTTGTCACACTGAAACCTCGATCTGGGCTAAAAAGAGGTGTGTGGGGTGCTCCTAACGGTGTTGGTTATTAGCCTTGGGAGAGTCAAAGACAGGCTGGTTTCCCCAAGAGCCTAAACACTAACCTAGAACAGAGCAATGGACACCTGAACACAGAGGGATCTTAGGGCTGGTCACCGATAGATAGGAACCGGAAGGCTAGGTAAACTCTGGGTTAAAAAAAGGTCTAGACTGGTAAACTCCATTCCGGAGGACCTCTTATAGTTGTTGCCCCTGAGATCTCAGGAATGGGGGCTCCTCCCACCGCTCGCCGGCCCCGTTTCCCTATCCTTACTACTAAGTGTGTGAGTGTGTGTGTGTGTGTGGGGGGGGGGATCCTAAGCGTAGCACTCGAGGTCCTCTCGTACTTCATCACCTCCAGCCGGTCAAGCCCTCCCAAATCCTGCAGCTAGCTGGAGGCCTGTGATCTCCAGCGCTTCCCGCACGGGGTATGGGCAGGGAGAGAGCTGCGCTTACCCCTGTACGCAAAGGACCATGTCCCAGAGGCAACGGCGGCTCGAG